CGCCTTTCTTTCTTTCTTTCTTTCTTTCTTTCTTTCTTTCTTTCTTTCTTTCTTTCTTTCTTTCTTTCTTTCTTTCTTTCTTTCTTTCTTCCTTTCTTTCTTTCTTTCTTTCTTTCTTTCTTTCTTTCTAGGTCACCTCACCGGGCAGGAGGAGACGGAGACAAAAAGACAGTTCAGTATGAAGTTAAAATCCAAACACTTAAGTTTTAGACAGCATTTTCACATAAACCTAAAAGACATGCTTAATTTTAAAAAAGGTTTATACAATACATTTCTACGTACATACCACCCCGTGAAGGAGAAGTTGGTGGTTTACTGGGATGTGGAGCACACTTCTGAGGTAAATAAAAGGTGTAAAAACAAAGGCTTGATTAAAAATGGAGTATCAGCAGGGGACCAGGGCAAGGGAAGCAACGAGTGATGCCCCAAGCCTGAGCAGAAAACAGCTTTCACAGAATGGTTTGAATAATCTACATTGTCCTGTAGAGGGGTAGATTTCATCCCGGCTTCCCTTCCCTAAAATTCCTAGATTTTCTTAAAAGAAAGTTTGAAATTCACACACATTCCGGGGGTAAGAAAGAAAGGAACCAAAACAAAGGACACGGCACCGCAGATAACAACTTGCTAGAGGGTGCCTGTTAGGCTAAGTCACTCTCCCCATTGTATGTATGTGGCCCTAGGTAAGGATTGGTATTAACTGAACATGTAAACCGCTCAGAGCCCTCCGGGGGTGAGCGGTATATTAAAAAATGGAAGGAAGGAAGGAAGGAAGGAAGGAAGGAAGGAAGGAAGGAAGGAAGGAAGGAACTGCTTCATAGGATAAAAGTAACAATGCAGAATTAGTAACACTATAAGGAGTTTGCTGGGTCGTTTTCAACAGCAGCAGGGCCCTCAGTACGGAGGGGGGGAGGGAAAACACTTTGAGGAGATCAGCTGGAAATAATCGCGGCCACCTCTTCAACTTTTAACACTTAAAATAAACAGACCCCCCACACACACACCTCTCACTTTTCTTTGCAGTAAGACGAGTAGCAGTGGCCGCCCCCACCCAAGGATTGATGAGGAAAGGTTCCCTGTGGGGGATACACCCCCGGCCTTCCATGGTCCCCCCTGTCAGGAAGGGGACACCCAGAGCCAAGCCAGGGACGGAGGCAGGCAGCTCCCCTGGACCCCCGCACACAGGGCTGGCCGAGGAGGACGGTTCGCGCGGGAGGAAGGCGAGGCGGGAGGATCAGCCTTCCAGCCCAGATTGGGAATGGGCCCAGCAGCGGTTCTCGCCGTCCTTGTCAGCGACGCAGGCAGGCAGCGCAACATGCCCAGCTTGCCAAAACCAGGGCTCTTTTTGTAGAAAAAGCTCAGCAGGAGCTCATTAGCATAACAGGCCACACCCAACAGCAGAAGCTCATTAGCCTATTGGGCCACGCCCCTGACAGCAAAGCTCATTGGCATATTAGGCCGCACCCCCATGTTGCCAGAAGTGTGCTCGTCCAGCCACACCCACCTTTCCCTTCTTATTCTGTTTACCTTGTTTGTTGTCAAGACCCAGGGCCTTTTTTGTAGCAGGAACTCCTTTGCATGTTAGGCCACACACCCCTAATGTAGCCAATCCTAATGAGTTCCTGCTGTTGGGTGTGGCCTGTTATGCTAATGAGTCCCTGCTGGGCGTGGCCAACTCGGGAGCCAGCCGGAACTCCATTCCTGTGTGTTCCTGCCCAAAAAAACCAAAGGGCAAAGCAGGGGGAGGAGGATGTGGACAGAGAAAGGCAGGCTGACCCCGTCCCCCCGTCCCCATCATACAGCAGGCAGGTGACTCAGAGCATCCCCAGACTACAAAGGGCAGTTTACTGACAGGTGGGTAAGAGCGCAGAGGACCCGCTTGGTGGGGAGGGATCCGGCTAGAATCAAGAGGGGCAAAGGATTTAAAAATAAAAAACTGGATTCTATTAAAAAACCCAATTGAATTAAGACAAGATTTGGGTAAACAATGCTGAGGAGATTATTTTTAAAAAAGCATATGATTTATTTATTTTTTTGCTAGATTCGGAAACGCAAGATGAATGGGGTAAAACCGCCAGTGAACCTGGGCTACCACCGTGGAGTTAGATCAGTGGTCTAAGGTAGGGTTGGGAAACATAAAGTTTGTGAGAGCGACTACATTTAAAGAGAATATAGGGAAAATATTTTATAGGTGGCACATTTCCCCAGACAGACTAAATAGATATTATAAAAATTTATCAAGTAACTGCTGGAAATGTAAGCAAAATAGTGGTATGTATTCTCATATGTGGTGATTATGTGCAAAGTCCAAAAAATACTGGACTTTTATTAAGGAGGTTATTGAGAATATAATCAGTGTTCCCTCTAAGCTGAGTTGGTGTGAGCTAGCTCACAGTTTCTTAACCTCCAGCTGACCCATTTTTGTCTTCGCTCAGGAAGGAGGGCTCCAGAGCAAGCTAATTTATGCAGCCGCCAAATTGCTCGCTCACAACTTTAAAAGCGGTAGCTCACCGAGTCGAATTTTTGCTCACAAGACTCAACAGCTTAGAGGGAACATTGGATATAAGTAAATTTACCTTTAAGGCCAGAATTTTATCTGTTAAATATAGTTCCTGACTCATTACAAAAGCCAGAGGTTTATTTGATCCTGCAAATTTTGACAGCCGCCAGGATATTATTCGCAAAGCGTTGGAAAAATGAAAATACACCAACAAGGGAAGAGTTCATCTACAAAATATTAGAGGTGGCAGAAATGGAGAAGTTAACTTTTACGCCTCATGGTAAAAACGAGGAGGTTTTTGATAAATATTGGTCCCGACTTTATAGATGGCTAGGAAAAGTTCAGTTGGTGAAATATTGATTATGATGTAACTGTTTTAATGTGATAGAAAATGGAAGACTCTCTGTAACAGGATCCAGGTTTGATTCCCCACTCCTCCACTCGCAGCTGCTGGATGACCTTGGGCAAGCCATGGTTCTGATAAGAGCTGTTCTCTCAAGAGCAGTCCTCAAAAGAGCTCTCTCAGCTCCGCCTACCTCACCGGGTGTCTGTTGTGGGGTGGGGAAGGGAAAGGAGTTTGTAAGCTGCTCTGGGACTCCGAGAGAAGGGCGGGGTATAAATCCAATCTCCTCCTCCTCCTTTTCTGCATGTCAAGCAGATCCTCTACCAGGCTGGCCACCTTTCGGGGTTCCCAGTTCAGGAGCCCGCTCTGGACACAAAGGAGGCATGGAGGGGGGGCCTAGCAACATTGCCCAGCCATGAAGCCGCCAAAGTGACCCCATTCAGATGGGACCACCCACAAAAGCCCCCCCCCATGCAGGCCGGGCCCAGAGGAACCCCCACCTCCTCCTCTGCCTCCTCCTCCTGGGTGGCTGCGGGAAGCAAACTCCCACTAACGAGGAGGAGGAGCCAGCGAATGCCCGAGAGTGTTGTTGAGAGTAACTTTGTCCAGGAGTCTGACACTTCCTCAGTAACAGCCAGAGGCACAAGCAGCCCAAATCTGAGGAAGCCGGGTCTTTTGGGGAGTGAGAGAAGAACCAGTGCGCGTTTGCTCTCTCTCAGGAGGAAACAAATGGCTGATCTTTGTCAAGGGGAGTTTATTTCTGTGATGTAACTGTGTTGTAAGGCTGCGTGAACTGCCAGAGGCTCTTGGTGGTGTTTACTTCCATCAGACTTCATTGCTGTAGCCAAAGGCAACTGCAGATCATTTTAAATTGTTGCTAAAATCAAGAACTCTACATTCAAACAAATTAAGCTCATGAATTAAATATAGAAATTATGGGCATAAACATGAGTCATATCTGTCAGCAGTATCACATTAAAACAGAAACAGCATTTTGGCATCTCTATTTTGCTGCAAACCTGGCTTGAATCTGTTTTGCTGCCGTTGCAAATACATTTATCAGACAGCAGATGAACAAATATATCCTGTGATGCCCAACAGTACACTGAGAGAGGTGAGAAGACAAACATTTCCCTCTTGGGGAATCAAATGATTGGCAGTATTACAGACTAGCCTGTCTTTGATGCAACTGATATGTAGGTGGATACCTGCCCTCCAAATATGTTGTAGACCTTTGCTGGAATTTCAGTTCTGTGAATGCTTTTCTCATACTTGGAAAAGAGAGAGTCTGTAAATAACCAGAGAGATAATGATATTTTTAAAATAACTGCGTATCAATAAGAAGACGGGTTATTATTTACTCTTTCTCTGAGTTTACCTAAACTGTGTAGGTTGACTGATGAAGATGTTGTTGCAGCCCATCAGTAACCGCCAATGTTGTGAGGTTACTGAGTATTGCCAGATCTTAATTCGGTCTCTTAGTCTCAAATTGTTTGATAACCTAGAATCTACCATATCATTTAACC